TAACTTATCAAGCTAATTAATCGAGCATAGTCCGCCCCCCGCCCGCAGACACAAAAATCAACTTAACTACGTACTTCATTCCCCTTTGCCTATTATTTTATTCAATAATCTGCTGTTTACAGAATTTTTTATTTTGTTTTGCCCTCAAAACAAATGCTAGATGACTTCACTTCATCAATGTGGTTAGACTTGGTCTCCAAATGGCAAACTGTGAACTTTTTTTAGGGGTAAAGTCATTTATGATGTCTTTAAAGTCTAATTTCTTGGCAAGCTGATGCTCTATAGACAGCATTGCCAGACCATTGAACCTTTCCTGGGTCGTCCAAGAGCCCAGGCAGTTTTTTTTATTATTTTTATTTTACTGAAGGCCTGCTCTCTTCCAGCCAGTCACAGGTAGAGACAGGAAAATGTGTTTCAGGTTCCAATAGCAATGTTTGTTTGCACAGTTTCTTTAATGCCTTGGAAATCTGTCATAAAACTCTTTGTTTTTTATGTTGGATATTTTCATTACATCTACTGAATTTAGTGCACTTGTTGATCTTTTCTCCACTTCATAGAAGAACAGCAAGCAAGGCAGAAAAAATACGGCCTTTTTTCACCTACTGTATATTAGCCGGTCTCTAACAATTTTCCCCCTCCATTGTGGGAGGTAGAATTGGTTAGACACTTTGGAAATTCTCTGCCCTCTTAATCTGCTGGCAGTTCATTTGCCATCTCAAACAAGGGCTTCTTTTTTTCCATTAAATGCACAACATTCACCCGATCAGAATCAGTAATTTTTGCTGGCCAAATCAACAACATTAAGTAAAAAATTTCTTTGGCGCCAAGATGGGGCCACTGTTTTTTTGAATGGGGGCACAGAAAGAAGAATGAAAAAAAAAGAAGATGTAATAAAATTAATTAAATATACTCCTGTTTTGAGACACTGCAATTAGGCCAATCTGCAATGAAGTACTGACTGCTTTTTACTTCTTCAATTATTTCAGAACGGACCATTTCTGCTAAACAATTCAGAACCTCATTCTGAATCGTCTTGCTTGTGTACTTTGCGTTGTGAATGGCTGTTAGTCTGTATTTAACAACTGCATTGTGATTTGCAACTGTTTCCAGAATTTCCCTGAAATTTCCTCTGTTATTTGATTACTCAGATTCATTGTGTCCACTCTATGCTATGTTTTGTCTAGCTGTGAATTATTTTAATATACTGGTGGTTTTCTTTTACCTGTTTACTGTGTTCCTGGTGAAACATATTTTCCAATGTTTTATTAGCTTTCACAGCCCTTTGGTAGTCCCTCCATGCTATATTTGTTTGCTCATGCTTATCAGATTTCGCATGTATTGAAAACCCTCCGTCTTTTTGTTGCTTTTTTCCAATTCCCAAAGCCTGAACCCACCTTTCTTTATAGATGTTTGACTAACTGACTGTGACTAACTGTATGTGCTCTCTTTTATCCTCTGTCCTTCCTGATCTCCTAAATATGAAATATTGTCTTATACTTATGAGTAATTACGAGATAAAATCTCATTATATTGAGATCAGGATCTCATAATTGCGAGAACGGGGAAAGGTGACGTCATTTGTCCTAGTAAGAATTACATTTCAGATATCTGAAATGTTTATTTTAGATAGGAATAATACTATTAAATATATCTGAAATACAAACAAATGTATAATAAAACGGCCAACTAAAATAAGTAAAGATTTATAGATATCTGAAATTAATTTGTAGACATCCAGAATGTTTATTTCATGCAGGAGTAATGTCATTTCGGATATCTCAAAGTACCGGCCCAATACACATAAATGGGGAAAAGTGACGTCATTTGTCCTAGTAAGAATTACAGTTCAAATATCTGAAATTACATTAAAGATATCTGAAATACAAACAAATATATGTTAAAATGACCACCTAAAATAAGTAAAGATTCGTAGACATCTTAAATGTAGGTCTTACTAGTATAAATTTGATTCCAGAGAACTTAAATTTTAATTTCTACTGGTAGAAATGTAATTAGTGATATCTAAAATATGATTCTGACTAGGAGTATCGTAATTATGACTAGGAAGAATGCTTTAGCCCTATCTATAATAGAAATGTGAAGTGGTCTAGTTTTGAAACTACATGTAGTTTTAGGGCTAGACCACTTCTAGTCTATCTTGTTTTTTCAAACCTTTGTGCGGTTTGGTCTCTCTTGACACAAAGTGCTCCACTTCCAAGGCTAAAGAAATGTTTACTTGGACATTGTAAAAATGACCCCTTCATTCCCTATTATTATCTGCTGCTTTTCGAATGAATTCGTCAAATTGTGTCGACAAAAGTTTTTTTTTCTTTTTCCTTAAAGTTAATCCAGTTATATGACATATATAGATCTAAATATTTTTCTCAAAATTATAGTTTTCTTGTATAAAGCATAGTCCAAATTGATAGATTTTTTATTCAAGCTTAATTTTCTGCAATAAGTAGGTTTATATTCTTAGAATGGCCCACACATGGACAGAAACATGTATTTGGCGCTAATGTCACATTGTGCCTCCAGTTCTAATATGCTCTTGAGGATCCCGCCTGTCTTGGAGGTGTGTGAAGACAATGAAGGTGTTATGGCCAGTCATGTTAAGCTTATTACAAGTTTCTCATTTCAAAACAAAGGAGAGGGACACGTCCAGTCTCAGCAGGACTCAGCTTATCCCCCAGCTTAGTCTAGACATGCAACAGCACACAGCAAGGCCGGTGGACCCAGAGTTTTTCATGAGGGAAGATTTTGGGTCCTCTGTGTAGATTTTGTATTATTTGTGCCCTGCAGACTGCAGTGCCTGGACATCTGGTCACCCATTGAACACAAATAGAGCAGTGACTATGTGACTGTAAAGGAGGTGTTTGTGTAATTTAAATCAGAGATGGAACATAACAAAACCTCATGTTCTGTAAGATCATTACATAATAACACAACAGTGGTTTGCTATGCAAATGCATGCCGTTAATCTCCAGCCAGCTGTTCAAGAACTGTGTCCTTATTTAACTAAAACTCTGTAGTGCTGTAAAAATATAGCACTTTGTAAAGAGTTATTCGAATATAAACTAGATCTTCTGGTAGAATAGAAGGGGAAAAAACAAGCTATAAGAAAAAACAGAAGCATTCTATACGATGTTATACAATGACTTAGCAGCATGAAAACAGAGACATGGTTGATTCAACATGAAGGATGAGGAAAAAGTGCTTCATTTAACATGCTTTATCAAAGAACAGTTAGAAGTTTCCAGAACAAAAACACCATTATAACAGTGCCTATTGTTAGATTATTTGTACACAGGTACATGTATACAGGTCCTACTGCATATAAAAATATCACTCTGGATGCATAGGTATTTCCCCCAGTCCGGTGGGCAAATTGAGATCATCGTCTTAGTTTTTGTTCAAAAGAGAACCTTTCACTGGACTCCAATAAATTCAAACTGTTCTCTGGTTTTCAAACAATGGGAATCCAACAAATACAAACATAGGCATCCCTTTTCACAAACTTCACTCAGGGAACAATGTCTGTCTGGGTTTACATCTGCTTCATTGTTTCAAGCTTCAGTTCGTCATCACTCAAGGCACGACTCCTTAGGTTGTCCTGCTCTTTTGACTGAAAGAAATTCCTCTTCCTTCGCATTGCACTTCAGAAAAAGCCTTTCAGTAATTTTCCATCATCGGTGGGGAAACCCGTGGACAACAGATTTTTTTTTTTTTTAAGCAGGTACCTTACCAGTGCCTAACCTGGTTAAAACACTCACACATTACCTAAAACCAAATTAAAAGGAGTTAGAGGCTCAAGTATACTCAGAGCATAAAACTCTCACCATAAGGTAAGACTTTGATTGTAAGACATGTTTAGTGTCTACTTCATCGAGGAGTCCCAGTAAAATGTTAACATAAGCAGCGTAGACGACACCGCCACCTAACATAAGCCTCTGCAGAAAATACGTATTTTAGTCAGAGTTATTTTTTTTAAATTGTCAAGCTATAAAAAAGTGTCAAAGGCAAATGTTATTTTCCAAATAATAATTTAAAGAAAAAGGAATCACACTGTGGCTTTGAATAGCAAACCGTAGCCTTGTAATATAATATTCTGGTCTTTAACTATTACATTAAAACGACTTATCTCTCCATTTTTCCTTTCCATCGGAAAGAAAAAAAAATAAAACAAAGCTACATTCTCCTCTAAAGCAGTGACACGTTAGTGAAATTGATGTCTTTGCTGGCTGGTTCAGTTTTTCTTTTTTTTTGGTCTCGATTCTCGAAGTGGACAGCAATTGCAAATGTTTAACACAAAGGCTTGATTACAAACATTTAAGTTGGAACCTCACAACACCAGCTTTGCCACTAGATATGGCTCTGATCTGCCATCAAAGACCAACAAGACTTTAATATTACTCTTCACATTAGATGGCTGCTGAAAATAAGGTAAAAAAAAAGCTATGTAGTGTTTATGTGCGAGAAAATTTTACCACAGTGCACAGCTTTATGATTTTATAAATCTCTTTATCTAAAATGTCTCTATCCACGAGGATACATGTAAAAACAGAGTTTGATTTGCAGCCAACAAATGCACCACCCATACTTAAATGTTAAAGGAGATGAGATAAACTTTGCTCTAATTTGGCTAATAACAGATAACGTCTGTGAGAAGACACTACGGCTTATGAGAGGAGTGTGTTTTCACAACCAAAACTATTTCACATCCTTCCATAGATCGCTTTTTTAGAACCTAAAGTTGCTATCTGCTCCACTGTGCTGTAACTGTGATGAACCGTGATCATCTGATGATGATCTGATTAGAAAAAGTTGTGTCAATCCTTCCTGATGTTCTCTTAGCCAGTTCTTAAGCTCACAGCCAGAGTAGAAACTTGTCCTTATAAGGCGATTGCAGAGTTCAGCCCGTTAGGAAGACACGTCAGCGTCCCCTCAATTGACCCACTCGGGCCTTGGCACAAGGTGCAGTTGAAGAGCATTTAAAAAACAAGGGGGTGCAACACTTTGCACATATATTCCGAAGATACCATGCACCAGGTTTTGCTTCGAATTGATTTGGGTACACTAAAGCAGCAGAAGGCCCAGAAAAGGACAGAAGGAGGACAATAGCTACAGTAGAACAAACAAATCCCAGCAGGAATATTGGTAAAACATCAAAGCTGGAACAAAGCTGGAACAAAGGTGCTGGTCAGGGTCACTATCTGAGGTTGCTTGAGGGAAGCTACAGAAGCCTATCACTGAGAGCCGTCAGGGTCATGGTGGATTTCAGTAAGTGAGGCGAGAAGCCTTCATGTTGTGGCAGGGTCTGTCTGTTAGGCTCCCGGTTCCAGAGAAAAGGGACAGGCCTTCTGTTTTCTCCAGTACAACCTCCAGCTCCTGAAAGTCCTGCAGCCGAGCCACGTCCTTGTCCTGGATAGGAAAGACAAAGTCAAATGCACAAAATTCTACCACCAATTTAACTTGTATAACTTAAATGGTCTTTTGAAAATTATTTAAATCTTCAAAAAGCTAAAAATGTTGGGGCATTGGATTTACACACTAAAGCATTGTATGATGTATCACTGTTGACAGCAAAAAAAAAAAAAACAACTGAACAGCCCACCACTCAAAGTGATGCTCAACAATAGTGAATAAAACATTTAAAAAAAAAAACAGAAAACTCCCTAAACAACTACAAACACATTAGAAAGCAGCCAGTCTTTCACTATTAACTTTTTCATTCAAATAAAAGTTTGGAAAATATGTTTTTATATATAAATGAGGAAAATCATGTAATCCCCATTTACTGTTGAATTTAAAACTATTATCTTTATCAAGCAACCTTCAGCAAAGATGATTAATATAAACATAATTTCAATATATTTTGAATGCATTGCCAAAAATAAAAAATAAAAACACTGCAAACATTCTACTATTTTAGGTTGTAAATTGTTAAATGAAGAAACTATAAATTTAAACATCCCAAACCTGCAGCACAGTTCCTTTAGTTTTTAGTTTAGTTACATTTTTAAATCTTAGTAATTTAACATTAATAACCCGACAGGCTGTTCAATCTAAATGTGAGGATGAAAAGATTTAATGTTTATGATGAAGACGCACATTTTTAACCTAAAAATATACCATGCAGTTTGGAGTCTAAAACAACTCTATCATTAGATTCATTTCTACATCTTGCCTTGAAGAAAATGCTTACTGACAGACTGACTTTCTTGACATGACTTTTATCTATAGGAAAATGTTTAAAGAGGGAAATAATGTCAGCCTGGTGGGCTTTCACTAAAAGATGATTGTTTTAGTGACATTATAATAATTTCTGTTCAAATTAGAACCAACCTTAAATATGTCAACCGAAAATTATCGTTGTAAAAGAAAAAAAAAAACTCAGCAGCAACTACCTTTTCCTATGTCGGCGTCAGGACTGGGAAAACAAAACGTTTATTATCAGGCCTGTGGTTGTTTAAAAACAGGACGGTTCTCTTTTTGTTTATTTCCTGCTGTCACCATGTTCCATAAAGTTATGGAAGGACCTGGAGATGAAAACTTAAGCAAATCCAGAGAGAGAGAAAGGATCCAAACATGGTCTGACTCAGTAGAAGTAAAATGTGCACAGGTTTTAGTCAAACCAAATTCTCTATTTCCACAACAGCCACACAGAGAGATTAGCTTCATTTCTGCAGGATTATGTTGTATGTTGATTTATTCCTGTGCCATGAATGGTTCTGACTAAGACAGAGAAAAGGTGATGGTTGCTCTGACTTATGAAAATGTAAACAAAAATGCACCTAATAGAAGAAAAAGAATGAATAATATAATCTAATAGGATATAACCTAAAGTTATGTGTCCTTTTGATCTGAATTAGATTTTTCTAAATGAAAATCTAAGAGAATTTGATTTTCACTTAAAACTTATGAACAATGAAATCAGTGATTTTTAGGGATGCATGATATTGGGATTTTGGCCGATATCCGATATGCCGATATTTTAAAACTCATGTAGCC